AACCAATCCATTCACTATACAAGTAATAACACATAAAAATACAGAATAAAAAAGGAAAAAATTATAGGCAAAAGTCCATTTTCTTCATAGAAGTCATATTATGTTATTATGTACTGATGTGTAAAACCATAGAAGGCAAAGAGGGTGTACGTTCTTTTTCCCATAAATGGATATGTTGGTGCTATGTAGATATCTCAATTATCTCTCAGGCACAGGGGAGGAGTTTACTGTGTGCATTAAACTGATCTACTCCCAGCATTAAGTCTCGGGTAATGTGTGGGGGGATGCTATACTGGCTATAATTACTACTAGACAGCTACACTCTCTGTAGTAGAGCTTTGGGAGCTGGATCCAGGACCCTGGTTCAGGGTGGGAAGAGACGGCGAGACTCAAGCTGTGGCGGCTAGGGGCTAAAAGTGCTTATGGTGTCCTGGCAATAGGTACGAAGCATGTTTGGCAGAGGTACCCAGTCGAGGTACCAGGCGGTCTGCCACATCTTGTGGCAGCAGTGGGATGACTTCCTAGTAAGTGGGGAAGCATCCCGGGGACACCGAAATACCACACGGAATACTGGCAAGAGGAATAGCGCTAGCATCTGTGCAGCGCCCCTGTCTGCAGAGGAACTCAGGAGGATGGAGCGAGATAGACCCCAGGCAGCATCCCATACAAGGAGGAGTTTAACTGGAGACTACAGAGCACCTTGACCTGAGGGGATGGTCCTTTTTTAGAAGAGGGCATACCGAATTGGAGGGATGCCATTTGGAAGGAGCTCTGGTACGAGGCCCTGGAAGACATTTAGATTTGGCAGAGAGAGAGCCTCCTAAGCCAGGAGCAGTGGCTGCAGGGATAAGTGGCTCTGAGGATGCCTCTCCTGGGAAAGCCACCCCTGAAGGAGTGGGTGACAGAACTGGAGGACCTAGTCTGGAAAGAGCTGTGGCTGGGCGAGGCTTACCAGGCGCTAGAGTGGTACGCAGCCCAGCGTGACCAGTGGATGGCTAAGGATAGTATGCCAGAGGGTGAGGACTAAAATGGCCCTGGCTTGCTGTGGTAGGTCTTGGAGGAGGACATTGATTTTGGAATTCTGTCAGAGTTTCGGCTGTGGGATATTCACAGTACAAGAGAAGCCCTGATGGATCTTCATGGAGCTGCTGACCTGGCCACCCTAGAATGGGAGCTGGAGCAGGATTACCAACATGCGTTCAGCTCGGTTCATCAGCTGTATATCCTGCCGAGAGAGAAGACAACCGGTCCCTCTCCTCAACCACAGCCATGGTTACAGGGAGTGGAGACAGTCGGTCCCACTCCCCAGCGACAGTATATCCTGCAGGGAGAAGAGATAACCGGTCCCTCTCCATAATCACAGTTGGAATTACAGGGAGTGGAGACAACCGGTCTCACTCCCCAGTGGCAGTGTATCCTGCAGGGAGTGGAGACAACCAGTCCCTCTCCCCAACCACAGCCGGAGTTACAGGGAGACAACTGGTCTCACTTCCCAGCATCAGCAGGCATCTCTGGGAGTGGAGATAATCTGTCCCACTCCCCAGCAGCTGTGTGCCCTACAGGGAGTGGAGACAACTGGTCTCCCTCCCCAGTGGCAGTGCCTGATATCAGGAGACACCAGGGATGAAGAACACTACACCCACAACAAAGTAGACCTAGCAGGGAAGAGCATGGCACAGGAGGCTACTAGATTAGCTAGTTGTTTTTGGGCGGGCTTCTCGACTAACTCAGGTACAGACTGGCAGGAGGTCTGGTACCTGGTTAGTCTTCCCTTGGGGGAAGAGATGTGTGGTAAAGATGCCTCTGCCACAAGCTCCTGGAGAAGCCTGCTGGCTAGCCCCTTGCCCAAGGTCCATGGGCCATGTAGCAGCCTTTTAAAAGACTTGGTTCATGTGGTTTCCTTTTTTGTTCCGGAGCAGTACAACCACATGAATTAAAACTAAAATCGGTCACTAACTTGCGAACACCGCTGAACTTTGACGAACGCCTGCTTCGTTGCCATTCATGTCAGGAGAGTGCCATTCAGTAGGATTGTTCGCATAAGCTACCTAGGAGCCAGAGGAGCAGTTTGGTTCGGTATTTTGTTTGTTTTTAGACTCCCAAAATTGACCAACCACTACCACTTTTCTTATGGAACTATTCTGGGCAGAAGCCATGTGTGCGGTTGGTCAAAAGTTGACTTCCATGGAAAATACAAACCACTGAACCGATCTGAGTGATTTTTGGATATGATGGTCACTAAGATCAGGGCTGTCCGGTGATGTGACACTTCAAGGGTTTCCATGGATTTTGGAGTGTTTTAAAATTGTCTGTTTTTCTGTACCTGGAGATAATTGAGTTTGTACACTTTCTGACTCGATGATCTCTCAGGCACAGGGGAAACCGATTCTCACTGTAACAGTTGTTTCTTTTTCTATAAATTATCAAACATTACATAATTAGGCTTATATATTGTCCTCTTAGGGAAATGGCTTGTGGGTTATGGAGACTGAACTCTTACCAAGTTATTCCCTAGAGTAATTATTCAAAGTGAATTCAAAGTAAATTTCAAATTTGAGGCCAGAATAGCTTAGCTTAAAGTATAGCTGACTTAGAGAATGTTTCTAGTTTAGCTATTTTGACCTTAAACTGGAAATGTACTTTGAATTCACGTTGCATTCTCACTTTAATGAATAACCCTGTTAGATTAGTTTAATCCAGCACTGAAACAGTTAAATTGTAGATTGGGTACTGACTGTTCAATTCTCTTTGCAGAGATTCGAACTGTGACAGTCACTAGCATAGGCATGAATGCATCATAAAATCACATCTATAATTCTGACACACTACCTGTTTGTCTAATTGTGAATATTGAGAGAAGGGTTGAATAACCTTCTGTGCAAAGCCTTACTACACAGAACAGATATTACTGGGATTTGTAAACTTCAGTTATCAACTTTCCTCTAATGAAAGCTATTGGCTGAACAACATCCCCCGGCATTATTTGCAGGTCTTCCTAATGACATGCATAGCTGTTGTTGCAGATTAGGATAAAGACAGAAAGGTAGCTGTATGCATGTACAGGAACCAGAGGAAACAGAGCAAGTATTTCAGAATGGAGTAAGTTGGACAGATGAGGCAGTGTTAAATGGACATGCAGAAGCATCAACTCACTAGCAGTAATGATAGGCTGAGAGCGTCAGCTGAGCACTCTCAGTCTATTAGTGATACATATCACTGGTATGAGCTGGTATGGTTAAAGCAGAGTATAATCACCCCCTTAGTCATTTCTCTAGAGGGTGCTAGGCTGTGGTTGGCTGCTTCCCATTTAGTGCTAAGCCTGCAGTTTTTCTCTCAATGAGCAGCTATTAATAGCTGGAGAGGATCAGTTAATGCTCTCACCCTATTACCAGCATCCGAGGGGAAATCTTCCTTATTGGAGCACAGGCTGGAAGAAGAGGCAGAGAGGTTGAGTGGATGGGTGAAGTGAACAGCACTTTAGGGTTAAACCATTCAAAAAACTTTAGATCCATAAGCTAAGACCCCATAACAACTAACTAATAATATGCACATCTAACCAATACAAATTAGATGTGCATATTATTATTATGGACTGAAGCTATACAAATAATAATGATGTCTAGACAGGGCCGGCGCTACCTATAGGCAGCGGCCTAGTGGCGATTGTGAGAGAGGGCACCCACAGGGGCTCTCTTGCAATATGAATCCCCCATGAGATTATACTGACCCCGCCTCCGTCTGTGACACAGCTGCTGGTGCCTCCCCTCATTGATTCAGCCCTCCTTCTTGTAAATCAGCCAAATAAATTTATTTAATCATAACATAGGGGTTACGAACCTAACCTCGCCTCTGCCCGCCCACAAACACTTATCTCTGCCCATCTCACAACTAACCCTACCTTTCCCAGCACCAAACATTCTAGCTCCCCCTGCCTGACATGCCCCCTTCTCCAAAGTCCTACTTCCATAAAACAAGTCCTTTAAAGAGGAGAGCAGTGGGAAGGTGCAGCTTCCATAGGTAGGGAGTCTACCTCAGGCAGGCAGGCAAAAGGATGGTATAACTGGGCTTGGCTTCATCTCACAGGGAGGTGTGAAGAGCGGCAGCATCCACTCCTCTCAGTGCTCAAGACTTATGGCCGCCAGGATTCAGCTATGTCATACCCGGCAGCCAACGCTCTATAAAGGGCAGAGTGAGCATGTGACAGGCTACTGCAGGTATTCTGTACTGTGTGTGAGTGTCAGTGAATGTATAGTTTGTGTGTGTATGGGTCAATGTGTGCCAGTGTGCAGTGTGTTTGTGTGGGTCAGTGTGTAGTATGTTTGAGTATGGGTCAGTGTTAGCGTTCAGTGTGTATTGGTCAGGGTGCAGTGTGTGTATGTATGGGTAAGTGTTAGTGAGTGTCAGTGTGCAGTGTGTGTGTATGGATCAGTGTTGGTGAGTGGCAGTGTGCAGTGTGCTTCTGTATGGTTTACTGTTAGTGTGTGTATGGGTCAGTGTTAGTGTTAGTGTGCAGTGTGTGGGGGTCAGTATTAGTGAGGGACAGTGTGTGTATTTGTGTATGGGTCAGTGTTGGTGTCAGTGTGCAGTGTGTGGGGGTCAGTATTAGTGAGTGGCAGTGTGTGTATTTGTGTATGGTTCAGTGTTGGTGTGTGTCAGTGTTCAGTGTGTTTGAGTATGGGTCAGTGTTCGTGTGCAGTGTAGTTCTGTATTGGTTAATGTGTTTATGTATGAGTTGTGACGAAGTGCCCTTCGCCACTTGTGCCTGGAGGGGACTACTGGCTAGCCTCCTGCCTTCCGACTATGGCCCATGTGCTGATAGCGGTATTTTCCCCTGCAAAAAAGGTTTATTTGTGTATTTCTGCTGGGGCATTCTGGACTTTCAGTATGGTAGTAGTGCTATCCCAGATAGCTATGCCATGGAGCCTATTTGTGTAACAAAAGACTATGGAAAAGACTTTGGCTCCATGGCGATTGAATTGTATGTATGTGATCTGAGTGCCATTCAATAATAATGTGCACTCAGATCTAAGCTATCTGGGGATATGTTGCATGTATATGTTTTATATAGTAATTGTAACATTGTGTAATTTTATGTCTTTTTGTAACCATGTGGTTAATGGAGTCTTGCCTCTGTCCTGGGAGAAAATTTGATTACTTCCCAATTATCTCCAGGATAGAGAGGAGGGATTGTGATATCACTGTGGGAGTGTTTTGTTTGTATTGTCTGTGATTGGTTATACTGGGTCCCACCCTGTGAGATGTCCCCTTGCATGGGGACTTGCATAAAAGCCAGTGTGTGGTCATTAAAACCAGATCATCTTGTACCTTTCTTGAAGCCTTGGCTCATGTTTGGGGAAAGGGATACCTACACTCTGGGGATTGCTATAATCACTTACTCCCCAGAGTAAGCTCTTGCAATAGCTTGATTTGTTCCTGCTACGCTCTCTGAATTTAGAAGAGGTTCACCCACTGGGAGCTGGATCCTGGTCGTGGATCCAGGGTGGGTGGAAATGGCGAGACCCTGGCACAGCTGTATCGCTGAAAGTGGGGTCTGCAGTGCTGATGGTGTCGGTTAGAGTGCGTGGAGTCCTAGGAGCATCGATTGGCGGAGGTACTCAGTCGGAGTGCCAGCGTTCCGTCACATGAGTCATTTGTTTTTGTGTATGGGTCCACTTTAGTCCCTTGGACTAGTAGATTTAAAAATAAATCCATGCCTCCTGTATGTATCTATAAAGCAGTTTGTATGTGTTTGTGTGTGTATGTATTAGGATGCATGGGAGTGTATATATTAGGCAGTATGTGAGTGTTAAGACACCCCTGGTGTCTTTAAGAGAAACCGCCGTTTAGTTCACCTTCCCCTTTCGCAAATTCAGTAATCCGTTCGCATCAATTATAATACACGAACCATAACCAGGGGACGCGGTAATCTCCCGACCGGGATCCTTGAAAGGCTCCAAACTCCCGAACGGAAATCCACGAACTGCTGCTAGACGCTGAACAACGATATCCACCAAGCGGCTTTCGGTTCCATCCAGCAGTCTCTAAATGCAAAGAAGAAATCTCCCCAATAACGAGACAGAAGCTCCGCATTGAGGGTCAAACAGGATCTGGCTTTATTGTGGGCTACCTGCCCGTATTTATGCAGGTCTCCCAATTGGTGGACACTCCCCTAGGGGACCAAATGGGAGACTGAAATTACAGATGGACATGAAGACATTCCAGACATAAAGTCACAGCCTTTACCCACAATGCAGTATGGTTTCCTCCCCTCTGCCCTGGAGATAATTGAGAAGTAATTCAATTATCTCCAGGACAAAGACAAATCGCCATCTTAAATACAATACTAGAAAATACATAAAAATACATAACTTTAAAATAACCAAACATTTCCCATTCGCATCACATATCCCCAGATAGCCTGGATCTGAGTGCATATTATTAGTGAATAGCGCTCAGATCCCACACACACAGTTCAATCGGCATGGAGTCAAAGTTCTTACAGTCTTTCGGTATGCAATTGACTCCATGGGAAGGCTATCTGGGTTAAGTCCTTTCGTGTGTTTCAAAACTCCCGAAAGGCCGGTGTTCGTACGCTTTCGTGGAGGCAGCCAGGCATTCCGTTGTTTCAGCGGTGTTCGGCAGAAAAAGTGTCAGTTTTTAGTTCCATGAAAATAGAGCCGACCACCGATGGGCTTTCGCATGTTTTAAAATGGCCGCTGCCTCGTGGTAAACTTACGAACGACGACCACCCTGAATTCGGTTCAATTGAGAAGTGTCTGCAGTTAACCACAACCTTCTAATTGGGATCAATAGGTTAACCAGCAGCACACTTCTCTCCTGGGTGGCCATCCGTTCGGTAGTTTTGTTCGGGAAAAACAGTCATTCGTATGGCTGGGCTATAGGAAACAGCCATTTACATGAACGGGGCAGAAACAGACGAATCCACCACAATAAACAGACAGATGGTTCTGTCACAGTGAGTATGTAAACAGCAAGAAAAAATACAGCTAAGAGCCTGGTTGGTTTTTCCACCTTCCCAACACTTAGTATGAGTGCAGCGCTGTATACGTGTTCACAGAAGAAAGTGGCATACAAAACATACACTTACCCCTCAGAATATGTGGGGGTTATATATGGAAAAATAAAACAAGAGACAAAAAATTGTATAATATTGTACGGCAGAAGTAAAGTGATTACTTAGTGCAGTGAGTAAAAATAAACTCACTTTTGAGCGTTTTATATGGGTATAGGCTCTAAACACTTCCGTGCCTTTAAGGTAGGAAGCTGTACCCCTTTCGTGTAGTTCGCTTCCCTTTATTCCTCACAGCAATACATATGAGACAGAGAGACAAAACACAGAACCTCTGGGTGCAGTATTATAAATGTTGATAATTAAAAACAATAAACGATGAGTGCTCACCTTTTCTAGAGCCTTTTTGAAACTGGTTCTACGTTTATAGGTTTTGTGTCAATTTACAGGGTGACAATACCCTTACCAGATCCAAAGTGCAAGATGGAGATGAAGATAAGTATGTATATATAATGTATTAATATTATCAACACAGAATATAAAATAAAAATTGTATATCATGAAATAAATACAATACATAATAGTCCTCGTCCTCTTCTCCTTTACCAAAACGTTTTCGATTGTTATTCTGTCCCTTGCTCGTTGTGCGGTTTTCAGGCATTTCAAAATCCCGCCTTTCCCACTCATTATCCAATCCTATAATAGGGACCCAGGTGATCTCCTTCGCGTGCATGATTTGCCGCTGCGTCTCTTCCGGTTTGCTTTTGGAACTACCACTCCCGAGATGCAGTTCTCTTTCGGTAGTTGCATCCTTATTTCTGTTTTTTCAAACTACTATACCCATAGTTCATCGGGTTAGTAGATACATTCCATTTGTTTTTGCGATCTATGAAAAGTTCTATATATTGCTTATTTAAAGCGACACTGTCATGCCGAACTTACCTTTCCCCAATCGATTCCTCTTCTCTCTCTCTCTCAGGATCTGTTCTTCGTTTCTTTCTGTCTGCTCTAGTTTTCTTTCAAAATTAAGACAACGTAGGGACTATTTCTCTTGTGGAGGTTTCCTACGCCATGGCCAGCTATGACCAGCAGAAGAGCAAAGTGTGCTACGTTTCCGGTGGTCAGAGAAATTTTCCCATGATTCTAAGCTTTCCTCCTTGTTCCTACGTTGCCTCCTGTCAGTATTGCCGAACGTCCTGTCACTTAGAACACCGGCAAAACTGCCGAATTGCGTCCTAACAGAATGAGAACAGTTTCTCCATTCGTGTTAGAACGCTATTCAGGACTTGTTCGGATCGCAATTTCATTAGAATGAATAAAACTCCGATCCTATTTCGTGCTGTGGCTGCATCTTGCAGCCGCTTAGTAGATAACTCCCTAATTCCTACGGTATTAGGGAGCTATCTACCAAAAGGCTGAAAGACCTAAATTGGTCTTTCAGCCACATTTACTAATACTAAGTTAAGATTACTTAGTATTAGTAAATTCTGCCCCTTCTCGCTATACCGCGAAGAGGGACATGTCTATTAAACAGTAAAAAATAAACTTTTTTTTACTGTAAAAAAATAAAAAAACATATTGCCCCACGGCCCCCACCCCTGCACGGTGGGTGGGAGCCCTACATAACAATGAGGGGGGGACCTACTGTCCTCCACCCTGGCCCTCACCCCTGCGCGGCAGGTGGGGGCCCTAAATAACAATAAGAGGGGGGACCTACTGTCCTCCCCCCGGCCCCCACTCCTGGGCAGTGGGTGGGGGACATAAAGATAATGAGGGGGGATCTACTGTCTTCCCCCCGGCCCCCACCCCTGCGCGGTGGGTGTGGGCCCTACAAGACAATGAAGGGGGGGACCTACTGTCCTCCCCCCCGGCCCCCACCCCTGAGCGGTGGGTGGGGGCCATAAAGATAATGAGGCGGGATCTACTGTCCTCCCCCCAGCCCCCACCCCTGGGTGGCAGTGGAGGCCATAAAGATAATGGGAGGGGCCTACTGTCCTCCCCCTGACCCCCACCCCTGGGCGGTGGGTGGGGGCCATAAAGATAATGAGGGGGGACCTACTTTCCTCCCCCCGGCCACCACCCCTGGGCAGCGGGTGGGGGCCCTAAGACAATTCTCCCCCCTTCAAAGGTGACTAGGGGTCCCCAAGCCCCTAGTCACCCGCCCCCCCACCCAAATAAAAACTTTCCCCTACCTACCCCCCTCACCCTACAAATAGTGAGGGGGGAATAAAATAACTAACCTGTAAATAAAAATAAAACTTATCATTTGATGTCTTCTTTCTTCTAAAATCTTCATTTTTAAGCCCCAAAAAAGACCAAATAAAAAAACCATCATACCCGTCGAACTTAAAATAAAATAAAAAAAACAGACGAAAAAGAAAAAAAACCTGACGCTAAAAAAAAAAAAATCCATCTTCACCCATGGAGGGCTCCATGCAGACTGAGCTCTGCAATTAGGCTAAGAACACTCTGATTGGTTGGTTTAAGCCTCCCCATCTCTCTATTGCCCCCTCTTTCTCAAGTCTGAGGGGGCCGGCGCGTTGAAGGAGGCGGAGCATGTCTCTCTGTCATGCTCCCTGCGGTTCCCACAATTCCCAGCACAGGATGTGGGAACCGCAAAGGAGCATGATAGAGAGACATGCTCCTCCTCCTTCAGTGTTAGTGAGAGGAATGCCGCCGGACCGGCGAGGCTGCCACCCGGTCCGGCAGCTCCAGCATGCCAGTGGCTGCTCACTGTAAAAAAAAATAAAAAAGCTATTGCCCCCACCCCTGCACCCCAGATCCAATCAGAGTGCTCTGTGTCATTTTACAAAGCGTGGGAAACTTCTAAAGAACTTTCCCACGCTGTGTAAAATGACAGAGTACTCTGATTGGCTTAAACCAACCAATCAGAGTGTTCTTAGCCTAATTGCAGAGCTCAGTCTGCATGGAGCCCTCCATGGGTGAAGATGGATTTTTTTTTTTTTTAGCGTCAGGTTTTTTTCTTTTTCGTCTGTTTTTTTTATTTTATTTTAAGTTCGACGGGTATGATGGTTTTTTTATTTGGCCTTTTTTGGGGCTTAAAAATGAAGATTTTAGAAGAAAGAAGACATCAAATGATAAGTTTTATTTTTATTTACAGGTTAGTTATTTTATTCCCCCCTCACTATTTGTAGGGTGAGGGGGGTAGGTAGGGGAAAGTTTTTATTTGGGTGGGGGGGCGGGTGACTAGGGGCTTGGGGACCCCTAGTCACCTTTGAAGGGGGGAGAATTGTCTTAGGGCC